TCATTCAGTTAAATTTCTAACTAGTCAGGTACTCTAACCAGGACTTCAACCTCAGACCTCAACTGCAAATGTTTCCTGTTCATTCCCAACCGAGACTACCACTTTTACCTACCAAAGCCATGAGTTTTCCTGCCCCATGCAGAAATGAGTCCACTCTTTTTGCCAGCAAAGCTGCTGGGTTCTTTTTGCTGGCTTCATGTTGGTAAAACTGCCAGGCTCACCATCGTAGCTGGAAGTAGTTTTTTAAGAATAAACACTTCTCAAATTGCAGTGTTCCTTCGGTTAGTTTTCATTGCCACGAAATGGTTGTTTTTGATAATTTTATCCAGTTTTACCCTTGATATTTGTGAAAGAGAATTGCCAGCCTCTTCATGTCTACATAAAACCTGCATATCCATTATCTTTTGCAGATGAATTTTATATTTATTCATCAAGCTCCCTAAGAAGTCCTTTTGGTATTTTTATTGGATTTACATTGATATATAAATTAATTTGTAGAGGATCAACATATTTACAAAACATATTAAGATTTCTCTTCAGGAACATGGCATTATCTCCATTTCTCTGAATTTACTTAATGTCCTTCAGCAAAATTATTTTGCACACTCCTGTGGGACTTGCTTATGTTTTAAGCTTATTCTTAGCATTTTAAGTTTTTCTGGCAATTACTAATGAAATTATTTTTTCTATTGTAGTTTCTAATTATTTATTGCCAGTTTTTAGGAAAGTTAATTTATTTTTACAAGTTTCTATAAGTTGGTCTTGTATGTGACTGCCTTGCTAAACTTACTTTTTGGTTCTAGTAATTTGTCAATTTCTTATTTTGGTTCTTTTAAGTAGTCTACCATTATTTGCAAATAGTGGCAATTCTATCTCCTTGTAGTTTATATTAATAATTCTTATTCTTAAAATTTGATTTTGTAAGTTGTAATCCTTGGGAAAATAGTAAAACAGTAGGCATACTTGCCTAAGTGACTTTGCTGGAAATACTTCTAATACTTCACCATGAAGTACGACATTGTATGGATCCTTTTATCAAGCTAAGAAATTTTTATTTTTTATTTTTATTTCTACTGTAAACTGATATTTTGGCATGTACTGAGATCACATTTTCACTTTTGGTTTCCTGGTATCATAAGTAATAAAGGTCCTATTTAATCAAGATATATTATAATTTTAATATTTTCCTATCTTAAATTTGCTAATATTTTATTTATAACTTTTGCATGTAATTCATAAGTGAGATTATAAACAATGCTTTTTGTTAAACCAGATGTTCATTCTAGAGTAAAAGAACTACAAATTTCCTCTTCTTTAGAGGTTTGGTTTAGGAACTGCTCATTATTCCCCTATTACTTAAATTTGCTGTCTGCAACTAATATTCCATAGTGTCTGGCATCCTTTTCTTGAACAGTACGAAACTCTTAAAAATCCATCTCCTTCATGTATAATAATTATTTTCTTAGCCTTCTGAGTTTTTCTGTTACTATGCATTCCTCTTTTAAGTGGTTTGTTCCCTGTATTAGGTGATGTTTTTAAAGAAGACCTTCATGGATTGTTTAACATTTATCTGTCTCTTTGTGACATAATAAAAAATATATATATTTGGTCTCTGTCTCCAATTCCTGGCAAGAGCTCCTAAATCCCTTGTCATTTCCTGAGCAATAGGGGCGCTAGGTATATCTTTTGTTCTAATATTTGGACTTTGACCTCGGTTTCTGACACAGCTCTTCTTCCCTTGGAATTTTCTAAGTGATAGCAACATCTTTTGTTCTAATGGGGTGACTCTTGGTGTGCTCCTAGTCACCAGAAAGACCCAAACCATGATTAGAATCCTGGGACTTTCAGCCCTACCCCTATCCTTTGGGAATGGGACCTGCGCTGGAGATTGAGTTAATAATCAGTCATGCCTACATGATGAAGCCTCCATAAAAAAATCACAGAACTATGGGATTTGGAGAACTTTGGGATTGCTGAACACTTGGAAGGTGGCACACCTGGAGAGAGCATGGAATCTCTATGCCCCTTCCCTCATACCTTGCCCTATGCATCTCTTCCGTTTGGCTGTTCCTCAGTCATATCCTTTTATAATAAATGGTTAAACATACACAAATTTTTCCTCTGAGCCATTCTAGCAAATGAACAAACCTGAGGAGGGGTCTGTGGGAACCTTGTTTGTAGCAGAACCGATCAGGAATACCAGAGGCCTGGATTTAGGATTGGCAGCTAAGTGGGGAGGCAGTCTTGTGGTACTGAGCCCTTAACCTACGGGATCTGATGCTAACTCCAAGTAGATAGTGTCAGAATTGAATTGAATTATAAGACACCCAAATGGTGTCAGAGAATTGGTCAGCACAGGAAAACTCTACACGTTTTGGTGACCAGAAATGGAGAATGAAGTTTTGCGAGAGAAAGGAGAAAACTGTTTTTTCTTTCCATGCTCTATTTGTCCTTGATATATGTTTCTCTCTTCCCATTATCATAAGCTTTGTGTTATTTCCTTCTTTGAGTTTTTCTCTTCATTGTAGTTCCTTCTGTCACCTACTCTGTGAAGCTTCTCTTGAGCCCTCCTTTCTCTCACTACTCCCTGAAGAGTTAGACTATTTCTGTGTCTCTAATGTAGTTTATTATAAATTAACATTATAGAGCTACTTCCCTTAACTATGTCTTAGCTATAATATCATAACTTCCCTGTTACTTTTGGTTATAAGATCAGTCTCATTTTTTTGGTAATTAAGACTTAGTCTTATTTGTTTTTTTTTGTTTGTTTGTTTGTTTGTTTTCTCGTGACCGGTAAGGGGATCGCAACCCTTGGCTTGGTGTCGCCCGCACCATGCTCAGCCAGTGAGCGCACCGGCCAGTCCTATATAGGATCCGAACCCGTGGCAGGAGCGTCGCTGCGCTCCCAGTGCCGCAGTCTCCTGAGTGCTCCACGGGGCCGGCCCTTATTTGTTTTTTTAAAACTTTATTTAAAATTCATTCTGCTTGCAGGAATCATGAGGGATGAGGGCATCTGACTCTTCACATACCTTTCCCTTCTTCCATGTGTTGGGGCAGAGAGGAAAAAGGCAAACATGTTATTAAACTGGGTGAATTTGGAATCTTCCCCTTTTAGGTTGTGGCTTCCTCTCTGGTTAACACTGACTGTTCATCATGCCCTGTTGTCAGGCATTTAAATGCTGGTTCATTGCCATATGTAGATTCTTCTTGGCCCAACCTGTTGGTAGCTCACGGGCAGCTCTCTGAACTTAGAACATGTAGTAATTAGCATCTTTCATGCTTACTTTAAGCCTTTGGTGGAATTCTGGTTCCCAAGCGGCGCACTATCCAGTGCGCCACCGGGCCGGCCCCCTGGGAAATTTATTTTAAAGTCAGTGTCTCATAGTTCAAAAGGAAAATAATCAGTATTCCAGAAGAGGATAAGTCACGTAAATACTATAGAGCCCCTCTCAGTGCACAGTTTTGTACCTGTAATGTTAGATCTGTATTCTAAAATAATACATTCTTGGTTAGAGCACAGTGTTATAACACAAAGGTCAAAGGGTTTGGATCCCTGTACTGGCCAGCCACCAAAAATAAAATTTTAAAAAAGTAAGATAAAATAAAATAATACAACCTCTAAGAACCTTCATCCCAATGTCTGTATTCTAGAACCATGCCATATATACTATTTAATTGTAAATTAAAGTTTACATTAATGAAACTTAAATATAATTTAAAACGTAGTTCCTCAGTCACAGTAGCTGTGTTTGAAGTGCATAATTAGCCACGTGTGGCTAGTGGCTACTGTATTGGATAGCACAGAACATTTAAATCATTGAAAAAGAGCTTCTCTAGAGGATAGGGGTGGGAAATTTTTCTTACTGTAGGAAAGTCAGATACATAGTCAGTCATATCCACTAACCGTGTACTCTGTTTCACAGTTTTTTTTTCTTGCCCATATGAGGGAAATTTGTGAAAGGGAAAAAAGTTGCCACACTCCTGTACAAAATATTGCTTTTAAATCCGTCTGATATTTACCCTTTCATGTGAAAATGTCAAACAATTACTAGTGCAAACATAGTTGGCAGCAGGGTTAAGAGTTTGAATATTTCCACCCACCAGAGACAAAGTCATGTTTCCCTTCCTACTATTCCGTCATTCCTCAGATGAGGAAGGTTGGCTTAACTTCATTCTTAAGACATGGTAAAACTGGGCTAAGTAGAAAGGCAAATATTGTTTACATGTGTTGGTGTGTTTATGTGTGTAGGTTTGGGGAGAAGTTACTTAATAAATTCTTATTTTTTTCACAAAGCCCTTAGATATCATCTAATTGAATGCTCATCCACATTTTACCTATGAGTAAACTGAGGCTAGAGGAAGTGATTGCCCAAGATCATGTCAATCATTAATGGTAGATCTGGGACTAAAGCCTGTGTTCCATGACCCCTACATGAAGGGGTCTTCTACTAAATTATTTACCTTTCCCATTTTAATTCATTATTTTTTATTTATTTATTTATTTATTTATTTGTTTGTTTGTTTATTTATTTATTTATTTATTTATTTATTTATTAATTATGACCGGTAAGGGGATCTGAACCCTTGACTTGGTGTTGTCAGCACCAAGCTCACTCAGTGAGCTAACTGGTTATCCCTATATGGGATCCGAACCCATGGCCTTGGTATTATCAGCACTACACTCTCCCGAGTGAGCCACGGGCCGGCCCCTTAATTCATTATTGGTAAGGGGATCTGAACCCTTGACTTGGTGTTGTCAGCACCAAGCTCACTCAGTGAGCTAACTGGTTATCCCTATATGGGATCCGAACCCATGGCCTTGGTATTATCAGCACCACACTCTCCTGAGTGAGCCACGGGCCGGCCCCTTAATTCATTATTCACTACTAACTATTGCTACAGAGTTCAGAGGTAAGAATAATTATTATAATGAATTTTTTATTTAAAGAAATGTTGCTTTTTGTGTGTTTTAAAGGATTTGGTAATTGCAATTTTTACAGATTGAAGAAGAAGAGAGGAAAAAAATAGAAGATATGAAAGAAAATGAACGGATAAAAGCAACTAAAGAATTGGAAGCCTGGAAAGAACATCAAAGAAAGGCTGAAGAACAAAAAAGGATTCAGAGAAAAGAGAAATTATGTCAACAAGAGAAGCAAATTGAAGAAGAAAGAAAAAAATTAAAACATAAAAGTCTTACTGGAAATCTGGCATCTAGAAATCTTGCCATAAAAGGTACGATTAATATTTTCTGGAAAAGTGAGTCCTGTAGGTGAAGTATATATGATACTACTTTTAAGAAATAAATCTAGTTACAGTATTGGGTCGTTATTTTGGTATGTTGAGAATAAGCAATACAATACAAAGATTAGGGTGAAAGACATTTCTTTCAGGGAGTAGTGAAGTTTTCTAATAAAATGAGCAAGGATTCAGTCTTTACTTTGTTTATGTGCTTCTTTTTTCTATTATTTTTATTTCTAATTAACAGATAATTGTACATATTTAAGGGGTGCAATGTGATGTTACAATACATGTAGACATTGTGTAATGAACAAATCAGGGTAATTAGCATATCTGTCACCTCAAACATATCATTTCTTTGTGGTGGGAACATTCAAAATCCTTTCTTCTAGCTATTTTGAGGTACATCTTTTTGTTTGTGTGCTTCCTTTTGAAATTTATGCAGGTGTTGTTAAATATGGGCTTAACTTACATGCAGAAAGACTTGGAGTGGGCTAGCAATGTCAGGAGCTAGTATTTATTCCTTTAGAGATAAGAAACCAGGAGTTTCATTAAAAGACCTTTTTTTTCACATGACTCAGAAAAATGAGTAATATAAACAGTCTTAAGCAAACAAGGATTGCTTCTGGCCTTTGATCCTGATGTGTTCAAATATAGGTAAAAGAATATAATTCTTTACTGAAAGCTAAGAATTTTATTTTATCTGATTTTAGCATATTGAACTTTGTTTTGGCTATATTTAGTATTTTCTTTATGTAAGTCAGTCATCGAATTCCTATAAATGGAACATTTTATAGTAAAATCATTTATGTAATAACATTTATTGAGTGGTCACTGTATGCTAGGTGATTTTATTGTTTGTGTCACTTAATCATCACAACAACATTTTGAGATAAGTGCTGCTATTCTTGTTTTAGAGGAAGTGGTTGTTCAGAAAGGATAGATAACTATCAGTAAATAAACTTGTGGGATTTGAACTCAAATCTGTCTGCGTCTAAAACCTGTGCCCTCTCCATTAGACTATATGTCTGTACTACTTTAACAGTGAGGCCTAGCATGTTGAATAGTCATTTAGAGTGAATATTAAGCATTAACCATTATTAAATATACATATATTATTGTGGTTTAATATTGACATACAAATTAGCTACCACACTACATCCTTTTATGCCATTTTAACAAAATATTGAGACCAGTGAGAGTATATGGAAACATTTCCTTCTATATTTCAAATACTGCTAAACAAAGTGAATGTTTTCAAATACTACTAGAGCCCAAACATTCTTTTATAGATAAGAAGTATTAGGAAGATGTAAAAAAAAAAAAAAATTATTCATGCATGTAAGGGAGATTAAACATGGTGGAGGGAAAAAAGTGTATATTACATTTTTTGGATTTTTACTCCAGAAGTCCTTTTTCTCTTATTTTGTTAGTGTTATTATACATACCCAATTGGTTTGTTTCTTTCTTCTATTTCATCCTTCCATTTAACAAATATTTACTCACTTTCTACTCTGTACTAGGAGTTATTTGGAATATACAAATATGACTCAAGATGTGACCAAATGCCTTTAAGGAACTTAAAATGTTGTAGATACAAATATCTTCAGTTAGCTGAAATTTGTAAATAACTGCTTCAAAAAATTCACAAATGTTTCATTGGTCAGTAGAGTTAGACCTGTTGAAGAAGAAAACTTGACCGTTCCTACAAAATCATTTATTCTAGTATTACTGTTTTCATGTTGCTGTTTATACTACTGTTTTAATGTTGCTCATTAATAACATCTTTTTTCCCAAATGTCTGAGGCAGGAAAACAAGGCTGCCCAGCTTATAGATGATGATCCTTGAGGGCTTATGTTGGTCTTCAGCCCTGGCTGAGGAGAAAAGGGACCCCCACAGCCCCATGGGACAGAGACCCTCACTGATAACATTTTTAATAGTAGAAAGAATATTGTGTTATTTGCCCCAGAAATATTCTTTGGACAAGCCACGTTCAGTTACAGAATACACATGGTGTGGCAGATGCTGCAGACTGCTTACTCAGTATATTCTCTCCCCTTCTTTTTTACCAACTCATACTTAACAAAAATTTTTTTTTTCCTTTTTGTCTTTTTTCGTGACCGGTAACGGGATCGCAACCCTCAGTGTCACGCCCGTACCGCAACCGGCAACGGGATCACAACCCTCGGTGTTGCACCGGCACCGTGCTCAACCAGTGAGCGGACCGGTCTCTATATGGGATCCGAACCCTCGGCGGGAGCGCCGCCGTGCTCCCAAGCGCCGCACTCTACCGAGTGCACCACTAGGCCGGCCCTTACTTAACAAAATTTAAAGCTAATCTCTACCATACTTGTAAATATTACAAGGAAACTTAATACAAGTACTCCAACCATACCCACCTTCTAAGTTACTAAGCATCATATTCCTCTTTTTTTTGATCAACTGACTTCTCTTTGTTTTTAAACCCCTAAAATTAGTCATTATTATTAGTGCGGGGTTTCCCCCCTATATACTCATTGCTATTTAAATTGACTCATATTTATTGATTGTTTTGTCTTTGCTTCTGGCATCTTATTTCTTTTTGGGTCCAGTTACCTTCTCTTTAACTAAATCCTGTGAATGGTAAGTTCAGTTTTTGTCTGAAATGTCTTTATTTTACACTTCTTGTTTTAGGATGGTTTAGCTGGTTGTAGAATTCTAGGTTGACAGTTATTTCACATTAGTAGCTTGAATGTATTTTCCATTGCCTTCTGCTCTCTAATGTTGCTGTTGAGAGTTCTGCTCTGGATCTAATTTGATCCTTCATGAGATAATATTTCCTTTGTTTCTGGTTGGTTTAATTCTTTAGCAATCAGAATTCTTTTTTTTTTTTTTTTTTTTAAAGATGACCGGTAAGGGGATCTTAACCCTTGTCTTGGTGTTGTCAGCACCACACTCTCCCAAGTGAGCCACGGGCTGGCCCTAGCAATCAGAATTCTTTAATTCTTCTTTTTGGTATACTATGGTTTCATTAGTCTAAGTGCAGTTTTATATTTATCTTATATCATAACTTGGAATGTGCTGTCACTAAGAGAACTTATGTCTTCTGTCAATTCTGGGAAGTCCTAAGGTCTTGTCTTCAAATATTGCCTTCCTATATTCTCATTATCTTTCTTGGCTGTGTTCCGTATAAGATCCTCAGATCTGTCTTCTGGTTTATAAATTTTCTTCAACTAAGCTGCCCAATTTTATGTTAAATTTGTTCAAGAGTTTTTTTATTTCAATGACAATATTTTTCATTTTGGAAACTTTATTTAACGCCTCTTTGTTATCATTAGCTTTTTTGTTTTCATTATGAATTTTAGTCTCTTTGCTATCCTTAAGGAAGCATGCTTAAAATGATTATAGTTTCTTTCAGATTGTTCTGTTATTTCAAATTCTTAGGGAACCAGTCATTTTGTGTGTTGTGTCTCCTGAATGTTCCTCATGCTGGATTATTTCCTCATGTGATTTGTACTTTTTGCTTATGTGCTTATCTTCAGCAAGGACATTTTTGCGTATATGTATGAGGAAATCTCATATATTCTGGTTTGCAGAAGTAAGAATTGCTTGTGAGGAATACCAGGAGTTTTGATTTCTCATGTGTCATTTTTCCCCCTCCTATCCAGAGCCCCAGGGAGAGATACGCTTCACTTTCCTAGACAGAGATTTTATGTGTCCTTTTTACTGACAGTGCAGACCTTCTGAGGTTCTGGTTTCATTTCTAGCTCCTACCTCTGTACTTATATCAGCATTAAATTCCCATCCTCTGTCCTTGAATATTCATAGATCTGCTTCTAAAATCTTTTCAAACATCTTTGTGTCAGCTTTCGAGATGATTCCAGCCTTAGGTTTGCTGATGAGGCTTTTCTTTGCTTACTTTTTGAACTGAACTATATATTTGAACCTTCTGTTTATTTGTTATTTTTTTTTTATCAAGCATTTTATGTATTCATAGCATTTTATTTGTTCATAAAATTGCATGTAAAACTTTGTAGTAAAAGCTTTAGTTTATGTTGCTATAAACAGAAAGCTAATTTCCTTTCTTATTTTATCTTTTGCTATTTACCTTACTTTACTGTAAGAGTTTGGAAGTTAGATATCCTATTTTTACTGTAACTAGTGGTCACCTTAATGTTTTTCATAAACATTTAAAATGGCTTATTTATTTAGTTTTCTTTAGCAAAATTAACAGCAAAATATTTTTTCTTTATTTCTCCGCATGGGAGAATAGTGCTTATTTCCTCTACGTTCTATATTTTAGTCATCATTAGTACGATTATGCTTCATTTTTACCTTTTATTCTATTTTCCTTCTTCTGTATTATTGTTTAAAAATCTTATTCACATTTGTTATTGTGTTCTCCACTGTTTTAGAAAACCCATCCTTTTTCATTTTTGCCCTCAAGTTCTCCACTCCCAGGCTCTTAATTTTATTTCTCTGTGTTCTATAACATTCTTTGAGTAATTTATTGAGGAAAGATAGCTAGGTGGTATTGGCTGAGTTCCTACATATCTAGGAATGTCTTTTGCCTTCACAAGTGAGCACCAGATTATTGGCACATTGTATTAGGTAGGTTCAAGCTAACCTTTGTAATAAAGAGATTCACCGGCTAGCTGTCCCCCTCCCCAAAAAAGAGACTCAAATTACAGATCAGATAAGATAGAAATTTAGTTCTTGCTAATGTAACACTTTTTTATACAACAGTGATCAGTCTTTGTCCCACAAGGCCATCCAGGCTGGTGGGGTCACCTCTGTCATCACATCATTTGGCTTTTATCTCTGGGTGCAAGAGACCTTTTTCCCTCTCTGCCCCCTTCCTTTGAAATGTCTATTCAGGCCCTTTTCTAGTTTTTTTAATTGGAAGTCTTTTTTTCTTGTATGTATGGGCTCATTTTCTATCAAGTATATTGCTCCCTGTTCTATTTGTTGCAAATCTTTTTTTGCCGGTTTCTTGGTGTTGTCAGCACCACACTCTCCCAAGTGAGCCACGGGCTGGCCCTAGCAATCAGAATTCTTTAATTCTTCTTTTTGGTATACTATGGTTTCATTAGTCTAAGTGCAGTTTTATATTTATCTTATATCATAACTTGGAATGTGCTGTCACTAAGAGAACTTATGTCTTCTGTCAATTCTGGGAAGTCCTAAGGTCTTGTCTTCAAATATTGCCTTCCTATATTCTCATTATCTTTCTTGGCTGTGTTCCGTATAAGATCCTCAGATCTGTCTTCTGGTTTATAAATTTTCTTCAACTAAGCTGCCCAATTTTATGTTAAATTTGTTCAAGAGTTTTTTTATTTCAATGACAATATTTTTCATTTTGGAAACTTTATTTAACGCCTCTTTGTTATCATTAGCTTTTTTGTTTTCATTATGAATTTTAGTCTCTTTGCTATCCTTAAGGAAGCATGCTTAAAATGATTATAGTTTCTTTCAGATTGTTCTGTTATTTCAAATTCTTAGGGAACCAGTCATTTTGTGTGTTGTGTCTCCTGAATGTTCCTCATGCTGGATTATTTCCTCATGTGATTTGTACTTTTTGCTTATGTGCTTATCTTCAGCAAGGACATTTTTGCGTATATGTATGAGGAAATCTCATATATTCTGGTTTGCAGAAGTAAGAATTGCTTGTGAGGAATACCAGGAGTTTTGATTTCTCATGTGTCATTTTTCCCCCTCCTATCCAGAGCCCCAGGGAGAGATACGCTTCACTTTCCTAGACAGAGATTTTATAAGTGTCCTTTTTACCGACAGTGCAGACCTTCTGAGGTTCTGGTTTCATTTCTAGCTCCTACCTCTGTACTTATATCAGCATTAAATTCCCATCCTCTGTCCTTGAATATTCATAGATCTGCTTCTAAAATCTTTTCAAACATCTTTGTGTCAGCTTTCGAGATGATTCCAGCCTTAGGTTTGCTGATGAGGCTTTTCTTTGCTTACTTTTTGAACTGAACTATATATTTGAACCTTCTGTTTATTTGTTATTTTTTTTTTATCAAGCATTTTATGTATTCATAGCATTTTATTTGTTCATAAAATTGCATGTAAAACTTTGTAGTAAAAGCTTTAGTTTATGTTGCTATAAACAGAAAGCTAATTTCCTTTCTTATTTTATCTTTTGCTATTTACCTTACTTTACTGTAAGAGTTTGGAAGTTAGATATCCTATTTTTACTGTAACTAGTGGTCACCTTAATGTTTTTCATAAACATTTAAAATTGCTTATTTATTTAGTTTTCTTTAGCAAAATTAACAGCAAAATAATTTTTCTTTATTTCTCCGCATGGGAGAATAGTGCTTATTTCCTCTACGTTCTATATTTTAGTCATCATTAGTACCATTATGCTTCATTTTTACCTTTTATTCTATTTTCCTTCTTCTGTATTACTGTTTAAAAATCTTATTCACATTTGTTATTGTGTTCTCCACTGTTTTAGAAAACCCATCCTTTTTCATTTTTGCCCTTGCGATCCCGTTGCCGGTCCCGGTCCGGTACGGGCGCGACACTGAGGGTTGCAATCTGTTGCCTGACACGAAAAAAGACAAAAAGGAAAAAAACAAACAAACAAATATTGTATCTTTAGTTACATAGCACTAAGAACTGAATTCTTTTACTGCAAGGTGTGAATTGATGCCTCTCTCAATTGAATAGTTGGAGAAATAACTGAAGATCTTTAAGACACAATGACAATTTATAAATATTAACTTTTTAATATTAAATAATATATATTTCTATATTTTATTTATAAAATTGTTTGTATAATTATACAATTATAATTATTTATTATTTTTTATTTTTTTCCTTTTTTGTCTTTTTTTGTGACCAGTAACGGGATCGCAACCCTCGGTGTCACGCCCACACTGCGCTCAGCCAGTGAGCGGACCGGTCTCTATATGGGATCCGAACCCTCGGCGGGAGCTCCGCCACACTCCCAAGCGCCGCACTCAACCGAGTGCGCCACCGGGCCGGCCCCAATTATAATTATTTAAATATCATTTGTATGTTTTCTCATATGGAAAAATAGATGTTATAAACAAGAAAGGTGAAATAATCACATGAACTCACAAGGGGATGAGATTTGCACTAGAAACTTTTACCTATTTGATCTCAACCAGCTAGTGAGGTTTTAAAAAAAAGTTTAAAATTGTATAAATACTGGGAGTTTAAAATCACCATCACCAAATAGTGCGTTAATCTGCTCAGGGTACTTTAAATAAAATACCATAGACTGGGTGGCTTAAACCACGAACATTCATGTCTCACAGTTCTGTGAGGCTGGGAAGTTCAAGATTGGGTGCTAGCATTGGTGGGGGATCCTGTCTTGCGGGTGGCCACATAGAGGGGGTAGTGGGTGGGCATGGGGTGGGAAGGGAGCTAGAGCTCTGATCTCTTTCTCTTCTTATGAGGATGCTAATCCCATCATGGGGACTCTACCCTCGTGACCTAATTTAAACCTAAGTTAAACCTAATTTCCTCCCAAAGAGGCCCTACCTCCAAATATTGTCACATTAAGGCTTCAACATAAGAATTTGGGGTGGGGGGACACAAACATTCAGTTTATAATAATATTTCTATCCACTGGAGGAAGATGGGAAATCTAAAAGTAGCTGTTAATAAAAATAAGGCCTTTGTGTCCTTCATAAGACTATTCTCATTTCAGTGGCTACACAAACAAGCAGAGGCACGAAGAGCAACGAATACTGATATTCCTGAACTTTGTGATTTAAAAGAAGAAGAAAAGAATCCAGAATGGTTGAAGGACAAGGGAAAGTAAGTTATTTGAACTCAGGCCATTAGATTTATAAAGTATGTAGACATTAGTACTTATCACATTATCTAGTTATTTTGACCTACGTGTTTATATATGTGTGTTTATTGTTGGGGAGAGAGAACACAAATAAGCAAATTAGATAGGCAGGGTCTCCATATTTAAAAAGTCAGATAATATAACAATTAAATAAGGCTCTTATTATTTGTTATTATATTGAAATGTCATAAAAATTAAAAATACCACATCTTTTGGAATGCTTATTAAAGTCCTCTTTAAAATCACTTATACATTTAACATAAATCCTTCCAGGTATCTCCCTTAAAAACAGGTTTTTTATTAAAAACCAGAGCTTTTTTGATTGTTCATATTATATTCATTTCTAAAAGATTACCAAATTCCCTGGAAATGGAAGGCTAAAAAAAAAAAATCATCAAATTACCTCATAAATTAATAAATTATCATTTTACATCCAGGCGATCATTTTATTTATTTATATATAGCTCTGTATGTGAATATTTTAATACAATTACAGTGAATTCTGGTACATTCTGAGTGGCAATTCGAGCTCTTATTTTGAGGCAGCTGTAGGTATTATTTATTATATCTTATTGTATACACTTCTGTGTTATTTTCCAATTGCTTCTGTAACAAACTACCTCAAACTGAGTGGCTTAAAAGAACACAAATTTATTATCTTACAGTTCTGGAGGTCAGAAGTCCAAAATGGGTTTCACTGGGGTAAAATCAAGGTGTTAATTGCATTCCTTCTAGAGGCTCTAGGGGAAAATCTGTTTCCTTGCATTTCCAGCTTCTAGGCTGCTTGGCTTGTGGCCCCCAGGTACCAATAGCATCACCCTGACCTCTGCTTCCATAGTCACTTCTCCTTCTGTGACTCTCCTGCTTCCCTTTTTCTTTTATAAGAACTCTTATGATTACATTAAATTTCACCTGCTAATCCAGCATAATCTCTCCATATCAATATCTTTAATTTATTCATATCGGCAAAATCCTTTTTGCCATGTTAGGGGTAACATATTAATTGGTTTGGGGGTTAGGATGTGGACGTCTTTGAGGAGGCCATTATCTGTCTACCACAAATTCTATATTTTTCTTTTCTCATCCTCTTTCTGCTCTTTCTTGGTCTTTTCTCCTCTCTGTTACAACATCAGGGATTGATTTGTGGAGGTTAGCTGGAGTTGGCAATTTTTCTGAAGGTCAGAAGCCTGGGGCTGACAAGTTGGTTCTTCTTACTCAACAGTAAAACCATACATGATCTTTCTTCTTTTCTCTCTCCTTCCTTCTTCTCCATTTATTCAACCATTAAATAAATATCTAATAGGGACGGCCTATGGCTCACTCGGGAGAGTGTGGTGCTGATAACACCACGGCTGCAGGTTCAAATCCTTGTATAGGGATGGCCGGTTTGCTCACTGGGTGAGCGTGGTGCTGACAACACCAAGGCAAGGGTTAAGATCCCCTTACCGGTCATCTTTAAAAAAATAAAAAAATAAAATAAATAAATAAATATCTATTGATTGCTAGCTATTTGCCAGACTATATGATAGGCACTGAACTACAGAGATAAGGAAGAGAGGGACATACACAAATACTTACAACACTGTGTGGGAAGTACAGTAACATAAGTAAGAACAAGATCATAAGATAGTACAGAAGAGGGGCACCTAGTTTTAAAGGGAGGAAAGAGGTTTTGGAAAAGCCTTATAGAGAAATTACTACTGGAGCTCCTCTATGATAGGAAGGAGTTAAAGGAGCAATGGACAGAAAGGCATTCATTTCAGGCAGAGGTGACAATGTGAGCAAAAGCTCAGAGACAAGAAATAGTGTGGTGTAGGCCAGGAAATATAGATAGTTTATTCTTTGTTAAAACATAAAATTTGAAGCCTAGAGTGATGACCAATAAACCTAGAAAAATAGACAGGGACCTTGTGTACTCTGTTAATATTCTTAGATTTATCCTGTAATGTGAGGAAAAATTTGTTGCAGAAGCCCAAGTAAAGGCCTTGAATTATGGCATTGTTATAGAGGGGGGGTAATTTGAGAAATATTTAGGAGGTAAAATAGACAGAACTTCTTGATTGATTGTTGGCAAGTGAGAGAGAGAAGTAGTAGATGTGGGTGACTTCCAGGTTTCTTGTCTAAATGATTATGTGGTGCCACCAACTGCATTAGAGAATACTAGAATAGGGGCTAGTTAGGAGGGAATGCAGGGAAGTTTAGTTTTGAATATGTTGAGTTTGAGATGTCTCTGAGAGTTCCAATCTGGGTGACAGTGTAGAGCAAGCTTGACACTACAGGGAGAGGCCAGCACTGTAGATACATTTTTTGGGTTATCAGCATTTACATAATAGTTAAATTTATAAGAGTAGGTGAGATATCCAAAAAGAGTGTTAGACTCAGTAGAGTAGTGGGCTGAGGATAAAATCCTGTGAGCTACCAGCATTTAAAAGACTGGTGAAACAAAGGAACACACAAAAATACTTCCAGAAGCCAATGGAGTAGAAATTTTACGGAAAAAGGAGGGCTGGCTGGCTAGCTCAGTTGGTTAGAGCACAATGTTATAACACCAAGGTCAAGGGTTCAGATCCCCATACTGGCCAGTCAACAACAACAACAACAAAAAGGAAGTTTGGTTGGTTCTTTAAGAATAGAAAAAGTTTGAATAGATTTGGAGACAGGAGAGAGAAGAGCTGATTGAAATGTCTCTAAGAAGAGTGGAGAAAATTGGGTCAAGACCAAGGGTGGATGGCTTGTTTTGATTTTGGTTTTGGTTTTTCTCTTTTTGAAAGTTGAATTAATTTTATAAAATAAAAAAATTCCTTTCGAAAAAATTCACACAGTGCATATTACATGAAAGTCCCCCTTGGTTTTTACCTAGTCAACTGGCCTCATTTCTACCCTGTCTCCCAGCTGTGACCACTCTAAATCATTTCTTTAATTACACTTGCTTATCACAGTCAATATGTTAGTAGCTTGTGATAGTTCACAAGAGCCTTCATTATACTGACTCATTAAATCCTTACAACTATAGTAGGGTAGGACCCACTGCTTTCACACTCATGTAACTAATGCTTACTGAGAAAGTAGAAGCTTTGCACAAAATAGCTCACTTAATTCCCATAATAACATGGGGGCTGGCCAGTTATTTGGAAGAGTGTCGTGCTCTCAAAGTCACAGGTTCAGATCCCCTTACTGGCCAGCTACCACAAACAAACAATAACCTGACTAGTTGGGTATTATTATCTTTATCCCCATTTTGTAAATGTGGAAATGGGGCTAGGGAGTTTAAGGTGGTAGTTCATAAGTAGAACCAAGATTCAATCCTAGGTCAATATGATTGCAAAGTTTATATTCTAATCACTGCTGTACTCCTTTCACAGATGAATCAAATACATTTCCTGTCCTCTTGTTCCCTTTGGTTAGCCCTAGGGAAGGCAGCCCAAGTGGTATGGATCTGAATTACTCCTCCTTGCAGCCTGAGGGTGCCTAAGTATGCTTAGCTTACTGTGCTGTCCTGTTGGATTGCTTACTTTGCTCTAGAAAATGTTGACAGATTAACTTGTGATAGACAGAGATACCTCATTTTCTGAGATTGGAGGAAAGAAAGTAAAGACAAGTGTGGATCTAGATGAGCTTCTGACAACAAAGAGAATGGATTTCTGGGTACTGCAGAGGGCCCTGCTAGGTTAGAGAACAGGAATTCATAGAGATGCCAGTCAGCACAATTGGAGGAAAGAAAGTAAAGACAAGTGTGGATCTAGATGAGCTTCTGACAACAAAGAGAATTGATTTCTGGGTACTGCAGAGGGCCCTGCTAGGTTAGAGAACAGGAATTCATAGAGATGCCAGTCAGCACGGCTGTGTGACTTATGTGGTGTTTAGTCTTTTGTATTCAGGAGTAGAAAGGGCAGATTAGATCATTGAACCAGGGCTGGAGTTTTGACTGACAAGTACAGTAAAAGACTAACAGCGCAAGGGACCAGTAATTGCTCATGAAAAAGTAGCTCTGATAATCAGCCATGATGTTCAGGCTGGGTTAGAAAGGGAGAAATGTCATGAGGGGCCCAGTGGACTGAGAGAAAATGGAGCAATTAATGAGGTAGAAACCACTGTAAAGAGAAAGCTGGCAGAACAGAAAGTTCTCATCAGTGGCTGGATTTCCAGAGTTTGATATTTCTGAGGTAGTGCAGTTCTAGGTGACGACAAGGTCCAGGGTGTAGCCCTGGGTGTAGGTAGCAAAAATAGAGTTTAAGGGAAGATGATTGAATTAAGGAATTTCAAGTATTTCAAGGTAAATTGATACACAAACCTTAAAATCTCTTGGAATGATGGCAGAAGTTGAGATAGAGACAGATGCTGGGAGCCAGGTTTCAAAGCCCTCAATGAATAAAGGAAGAGCATTTTTTAAAAAGCCAGTAGATGACAGTTACTAGAAGGCTACAGGGTAAAATGTCATGAGTCCCAAAGGATGATGACTTTTACATAAAGGAAGAGTCACAGCTTGGAACTAGCAGAAGTGAGCCTTGGAGAATGCCAATTGCTGCAGTCCTAGCTGCCTGATGCAGGAAATGGGGGGCCTCAGTTGAGAGGGTGGTAGAAATTGCACTGCCCTCAGAGCAGAGCCAGGTTAATTTTAGAAAGCATTTTGTGGCTGGTCAGTTAGCTCAGTTGGTTAGAGTGCAGCCTTTTAACACCAAGTCAAAAGTTCTAATCCCTGTATTGGACAGGCGCTCTCCACCCAATGTCCCCCCTAACCCCCCCAAAAACCCCACAAAATATATAGAAAACATTTTATGGAAAAGTTGAGGTTGAGAGATAGGAAAGGATTGGGAGGTTCAGTCAGTTGTGGCAGAAACAGGAGTGAGAAAGTGCAAAGTGGTATAGGGGGATGAGGAATGGCCAGCAAATAGGGACTTTGACATGAGGATAATGGAAAAGCTTGCTTTTTAATCAGTGCCAAGGATAACAAGATTGATGGCCA